AAAGAAAAATACAACAAACAAACGATCACGCGCTCAAACAGAGAACTGACTTGTACGTAAGTACATACGCTGTTGTGACGAGTGATACAAAAATAAAGCGCCCGGTGTCGTACATCATCCTCGTGGCGGAGCTCGGAAGCTTTCTTAATTAATCCCTCTCCCCCTACACTCCACCTTTCGCCAAAGACTGGATTATACAAAGCCGTCACACAGAGTTATGAACAGTGTTCTAATTAATTACTATTTTGTACACAAATAATTTATATTTGATTGAATCTCAAATTGTTTGTGCGAAATGGAAAATTAATTATTGAAATCGCTAGACAACACCTCGGGACTCGCGAGCATGGGGTAATCTCGCTATTTCTATTAATATTATAAATGAGGGATTGCCGAGCGTATGTAAACATACTCTTATATAATTAATTTCATTTAGATAAACAATTTAATTCTGTTACTGAAATTGCTCAATGGCAAATTTGGAACCAAATTTATTAATAGGATTTATTTACTTATTTATAAATATTTTGAACATAAATATTGTTTGTGATGCTTCCATATATGAAAAAGTAGGATTAAAAACTTGAAATCTTGTACCATCCTGCCTTTCAAAATGTAGGTGAATATTAAGAAAAAAAATTAGAGAACTTCGACCGTCAAGGGACTAAATAACCGATTAAAGTTCTGTAACTAAATCGATAAAACATTTAATAGCTAAATAATATTTGTTTCTTCATTAGAAAAAAAATGCCGAAATTTAGGATTTCTGAAAATTCAGCCTCTAAAGGGATGTTGAAGGGTGGAAAAGTACGGATAGTCCATTTTTGTTTGAGGTTAGATGTACTCATTTAAGGTTAGGTGTACTTAAGATGCCTAACGAACAGTTTTATTTTTCGTTATATTCTATTCCCGCCGTATTATTTCAAAATCACTTTTGGTGCGCCGTAAATTTTCGCACTGATGGTCATCATGATCACAGATAAAATCCACCAGAATTATGCAGGCACATTCTAACTAAATATATAATTAAGTAATAATAAAAAGGGCTAGTGTATTTCCCGCAAAGAAAGTCGCGGCCAAAGTCAAAAGTAGGTTTCTACTTAAACTTCTATCTTCATTATAGAAAATCAAATTAATAGATTAAACTAATAGATAACAAGACCCGAAATCAAATAAATATCTCAATTAGACATATCGACGTTAAACTAGTCCCCGGTGGAGTTGAGGCAATAACTTATTTGCCATCAATTAATTTCCAATGGGGTCAGTAGCTAACAAATAAAGCTATCATCTATCCGTTTTCAATCTAATACAATCAATCAATCGGTGATTGATCGATCGATTCAATTTAATGTAGTCACCACTCAGCAGTTTAGTTGAATGTTCCGCTTTACGGGGTATTAGATTGTTCCACGACAAAGGCTTTATATCACCGCCGGCCATCCGGCGCCGGCCGTGATAAGCCGACCGTATTCACGGCACGGAGCCCCCCTCTCCTCGCCGCAACTCGCCGGACACGGTCGTTTGCCGATGCGCTGTATTCGACCGCTTTATTCGTAAAAGCAAATCTTAGTATACTAAAATAACAAATACCTGTCGAGCGGAGTGTTGGCAGGGTGAAGTGGACGGATGGAAGTCGATGGCATGGGCAGCTCAAATGCGTGTGTCAGGATGGTGTTTGAAGTGACGAAAATGGACAAAGTAAGTAATGAGTAATTTAGGGGCTATAGAAACGAGTGTTGGTATAGGAATGTCATGAAAAGAAACAATTTTATTGAAGCAATAAGGGTTATATTATGAAAAATCAATGAGGAAGACCGAAAATAATTAGAATCCAATATGTTAATAGTTTCATATATTTTCATATACGTCTCGTTAAGTCAAGTCTTATTATTTTTTAATGACTAGTTCATTAAACAATACTACTTTCAAACTTCAGAAATATATATAATTTACTCGTATCATTCATTCTACTGTTATACTTACACGCAGTTGATAGCAATATAATACTATTTGTATGTATTAGTAATTACCTATATGTAACTGAAATAATGAATTTCCAAAGCGGCCCTATTAAATCTAACTTCACGAAAATCTGTTGGGTAAATGCATATTTTTGACATCAGCCAAAGTATAAGAGGAATTAACATTTCCAATTAATTTGCAAACTCGCCGTTTGTATTACTGGGAGTATAATTAAAAAGCTGTCTCCGCTGTAATCAGGTTGTATCAAAGCTGAAATGGAGTTACGCCCTAATAACCTCACACTTCTGTAATCACGCTATATACCTACCAACTGACGCAGAGACACGCACGTAAATATTAAGGAACCTATACAACTACACGAGAGTGTCAGCGACGGTGTTAGTCGGCCGGCATCGACACTATCGGAGATTAAAAATCCGTAAGCCAAAGCATATATTTTTTGTTAAGTGGTATTTCACAAAAATATTAGTGAATATCGCTATCGCTATAATATTATCCAGTTTTAGCATTCAACATGTTATATAATTCAAACAAATCTAAATATGTATTATAATACTTTCGGGCCGGTTTTTCTGCACAACAAATACTTATCGTCGAAACGAGTGTGTTGACCCTCTTACATTTAATGTAAGCGTGACTACATAGTGTGAATACGGTTACAGATGATAATGTGTAATGAATGTGAACGGTCCCTATTTCACGGTTCATGTTTTGGACTTTTGCTGTGAAAAAGAAACGGGATGCTTATGTAAAATAGGTATATGTATTTTTTACTCGACTAAAGTAGTTTTACAAACACATGCTTTGCTCACAAAACATCTCAAATTTACTTTTTGTAAATTCAATTTAGAGCGGAGTTATCGGAATTACACGTTTTATTGGCAAGATAGTTTCAATATATTAAAAAACTTTAGTGAAAAATTTTAAAAGATACTTTTATTATTTTTCTAATTACATGTATTTTATTTTAATTTTGCTTGCTTTTAAAACTTTAATTTTGTAATATTAAAGCGTTTGATATTAAAACATTTAAAAATCTAGACGAGCTCAAGTTTTATTAACTTAATTAATACCAAAAAAACAATATTTTATTTATAAACCATTGTAAGCGTAACTTCACTCGTTATTTCACAAGCATAGCAGAACGCACAACATTAAACAATATGTTTTACTCATTTTGTGAATATTAATTGTACAAGTGATGTGTGATATATTTCCTACATATTCCCCTTAGCAAATGCAATGTAAATACTGGCAAAGCACTCCGAAGCAATTTAGTTAAACACTCGCTACCCTCTATAAACAAAGCTAGCTGAGAAGTAATGCTGTCCACTACTATCCATGATCTAGTAAGGTAATTGTCAGTTTTTTTCATTAGCTTTCCGGCCATCATGATTACATGTTTTTCAAGTCCCTATTTAACACTAATAAGGATGGAATTTTTTTGGAATTGTTTCTTAGCAAACATCTATGTTATATTGACTATTAATGAACCAATTCAGCTTAATCCGTCCAGTAATTTGAGCTTTGCATTGTTACATCAGTTAGTTAGTTGTTAATGTTTTTATAAATATTCAACATACATAAATCCTCAACAATACTAAATTAACATTAAATCCGCAGTTATAACGTAAACCCACGCTAACAAATCTGGGATAACTTTGTTTTCATCCTACTCTTTGCTTCCCAATATTTTGATAAAGCTTAAAATGTAATTCACTGGTTGGCAAATCTACGGATACCTATGAGGATACTGGTTTAGAGTCATTATAGGTATTTGATAAATTTTGTATTCAAATTGCTTTATTTCTTTCATCCTGATTCGAACAAGACACATTTGAATTTTTTTCTATCTATATTGAAATTAACGTAACTGTTTTTGTCTAATTATCTAATAATCTAATTATAAATAGAAAAGTTTATTTATTTGTTATTTGGAAAGTTGATATAGTATGATTTTTTGGTTGAGATGTTTTGTAGGCTGAAGAATGCCACAGTTTTCACGTAGTAAAATATCTGCCTTTGACCATTCGGGTGAAGCGTGAGTAGCAGCTAGTGTTTTGTCTTCTTTAATATAAAGTATCAATAGTTCCGTCTGTGGATACGATATTGCCGACAATCCCTCAACCGCATCTGTACCGAGGCACGTGCAGGTACATATGCTCACACATAGACCAATATTAGCTCCGAACTACGTATCTGACCAGCTCGGGGTGGATTAATGAATCCTCCAATCATGTATCGGTTACTGACAAACTTACTTTATATTTACAAGCTTAAGGTGGTATCACACTTGTATTAATTATACATTAAAAATCAAACGATGTGGATCTAGTCAATGTGTTGTTAGCTAGTATATGAATATGTAATTCTTTCAGTTATAATGGAAACTCAAATTAAATACAAGTAATTTTCAGTTAATAAAGACCCAGTTTGGAAAGTAATGTCAATTATTTTCTATAAAAATACTACACTAGACAATCGAATTAAATGTTTAAAAATAACTATTACATAAACACTGAACTAGATTGATCTAAGCTTAAATTATACTAAATAATAAAATAATGGCAATAAAAATAACTGTAAAACCATGATCACACGGATGCTTTAAGACATCTGCGGCTCTGCCAATTCTAGACCAATCCTAAGAGATCTGCTGACAGATGATCTTCAGTTAATCCAGGGCCTCGTTCACGTGGTAGGGCCGCTGTGTAACGTCCGCTAATAAATCTCCCAACCATTATCAACTGTTACTCGTTAAAGTGTTCTTAGGAGTTCAGTGTTGACCACTGGGTGCGGGAATGTGTTGATCTAGTTTTACAGTTATTCAGTAGGGCCACTGGCCCCATTTTGGACTTCAGAGTATTGGAAAAGAACTCATAGTTAAATATATACTTTGCCGTGTACGGTCTTTAAAATGTTGAAGTATGGCAAAACTGAGTCACAATTTTCTACTTCCACAATGTAATGCCTGATTCTATTAATTAATAAAGTTATACTTTTTAAATCCTCACCTTTCTCTCTGGAACTTAAGTGACTGCACCTTCTGCGGTGACTTCTGTCGGAAGGTCCACAGATGGAGCTGGTCATCGGCGGTGGCGGTGGCGAGTGCCCCTTCGTTCACCAGGAACTTGGCGTGGAGAACCGCCTCGCCGCACTCGTGACGTACGTGCGCATCCACGCCCGGCCCGCCCAGTCTGAATCGAGGCTTAAGGAATATGATTGGCTTCGAAAATGAACGGAATTTTAATTCATATTAATATAATAAATGGGAAAGTGTATTCGTTTATTCTCGGTGTTAAATATGGCTCATTTTACATGTATATTAAATTGTTTATCGGTGAGCTTCGTTGACTACAAATGTGATTCGATTAACAAAAATAATGTTTTACTCTTATATTTTCTAATTTTGTAATGGAAAGTGACTTCATATTTTAATGAAGTCATTTTCAATCAAAAACAAAACAAAACAGGGAGAAAAAAGCAGCCCTTGCCGAGTTTCTTGCCGGTTCTTCTCGGTACAAGGTCTTCCGCCGTAGATTTACGAACCGATGGCGTAGCTCTCGACTTTCACAAGTGCTTGTACCAGCCTAGACTGAATAAATAATTTTGATTTGATTTGACTTATATTTCTCAGCAACGACGTTAGATTGTGATTTTTGTGAAGGTAATGTGTAGTTGGGAGGCTGGTGTGTGGAATAGGTATTATCTATAAATAATTTTTTATCTATAAACTTGGAAGTCTTACCCAATAAATTAAAACGCGTCACTGTACTCACTCATTCATTAAATATACAATGACAAGTTTTAATTTGTCATTGTATATAGACTATTCTGTGATATTACGAGGGTCAAACTGAAAGTTCTTAGAAAATCAAAAACTGATTACATTAGCCAGTTATTAGTTTTATTATATCTTTTCAAAATATTGTCCATTCACGTCAATACACCGCTGCATGCGATGGAACCACTGGGAAAAGCACTTTGCCCACTCGTCCTTAGGGGTCTCTTTAATGGCATCGCGATACGCAGCCACCGCTTCTTCAGCATTCATAAACCGCTTTCCTTTAAGTTTTTCTTTAATTTTTGGAAATAAATAAAAATCACAAGGCGCGAGGTCGGGGCTATACGGCGGGTGACCCAGTAATTCAACGTTTGATGTCGCCAAATAGTCGATCGTTCGCTTGGCGGTGTGCGACGAGGCGTTGTCGTGGTGAAGGAGGATCCTACTGCGAGGTCGTTTCTCTCGAACTTTTTCCAAGACAAGTGGCAAACAATTGGTAGTGTACCATTCTGCAGAAACTGTTTTTTGATCCTCTAACACAATTGTTGCAAAATGACCTATCCTTCCAAAGAACGAGGCCATCATTTTTTTTCCCGCACTTCGATCTCTCTTCACTTTAGTTGGCAACTCCTCGAAAGGAAACACCCACTGAGCAGATTGTCTTTTGGTTTTAGGATCATAACAGTAAATCCAGCTTTCGTCACCTGTTAGTATGTCGAACACAGCATTTGAGTCACCTCCGTTAAATCTTTCAATCATTTTACGACACCAATCCACACGATGGAGTTTTTGAGCCTCAGTCAAATTATGAGGTATCCACCGGGCGCAAAGCTTCCTGACCGCTAAATGTTCGTGGAGGATTTTGTGCACTTGACTCATACCGATGCCTAAGCTTGTCCGAATCTGTTGATAGGTCACTCTTTTGTCAGTCTCTATCATACGCCGCACAACACAGATGTTATCTTCAGTCGTCGCCGTAGAAGGCCGTCCCTCACGTAAATCATCAGTGAGATTAGTGCGACCACGTTTAAACTCATTAAACCAGTTGTAAACAGTCGCACGAGATGGGGCTTCATCGTGAAAGGCCAATCGTAGTCTATCATAACTTTCTTGTTGACTTAAATGACATCGAAAGTCATAAAAAATCATTGCACGAAAATTTTCTCGTGTTAAATTCATGATGACGTGACACAGACAATTTTCAATTTGCCGCCAAATCGTAAAACAAATGACAAATGAATGAAATATATACTCAGTAATATTGGCAAAGAGTTATATTTTCAAATTTTAGAATTATTTTTTTATTATATTGTTTATAAGTGGCCAGTTCTAAGAACTTTCAGTTTGACCCTCGTATTAGGAGATAATACGATCTCAATAAATACACCTGTTTCACCGTAAACGTTACCTATTATCTCCAGCGAGGTTGCGTAAATACTTTATGAGCGGCAAATAAGCAGAACATTTACTAACACCACTTAATATCTAACGGATAATTAAGCACCTCCCTTACACGTGCTTATTTTTGTATTAATGTTATTATACTTCTATAGCAGTTATTACGTGCCCAAGAATAGAACGTGTATATTTAACGCTTTTAATAGCCCTTCGATTGTAGTCCATTATTACGAGGTAGTTTAACTCTAGATTTTATTTGAACTCTAGATTGCGATTAATTAATACAGTCACTTTAATGTGATTAGAAACATTCTGAAGATTATGCGTCAATACTTTTTACTTCTTTATTTAGCATGGCTACACAATTTTTAAAAACAAAACTGCTTTTGCTTTTTTTAATTTCCAACAGTCTTTTAGTTATGAATAAAAACTTTTCTAAAGATTCATTGGTGACAGTCACAAGATGATAAAAAAAAAAACAAAATGCTATTATAGCCTCACTTTTGAACGCTACTATTGCGGACTTTTCTATGTTTGAATCAGATATAGACAGAATTAATGTTTAGGTAATATACAATTATTATTTTAATTAATTAACTCGAAAGTACAGTGATTTTTTTTTCTGTTATGAGATGTTTAGCTATTTACTGTTTTGCCCTTTTGACGATATTTACAATTTCCTTAAACAAAAACTTCAAATAGTTAAGTTTAAGCTGACAGTGTATTTTTATCGTTATTTGAAATACGGAAAGTACTACTTCCATTACTGCAGTTTTACTTTGGCTATTTATTGGAGCAACCATCACAACATTGGCCTGATGCCAGTGGAGCAATATAAAAGAACTGCAACAACTAATTTCTCCATGAAAAATATCTCCTATACTAATTAATCGTACTTGACTTTTTTAGATGTCGGCACGTTTTCTGTTACAAAATTTTTTAATTTTTTATAAATCAATACATACCTTCTTTTATCCTTGCGGATTTCTTAGATAAAAAATTGCCTTTTCCAATAAAATCATTTCTCCAAAGTGACGCCATCTTTTAATAAGGCCCCACCCCTCCCTTTTCCCCTCATTCCGTAATTAATACGCCCCGATGAACAGAGGGCGACGAATTTATTATTTTTTTATTAGTTCAAGTTAATTTCTGACAGCGCGTTCCCGGTAGATTTATTTATAAAAGACGAAAAAACTGATGTATTGATTTATTTGGAAATATTATATTTATTATTTTCCTGTGTTTTAATAATAAGTGTATGGATAAGAAACCTAAAGGGATTCTTTGTTATTTTTAATATTTCTTCGATGGTGAATACTCATTTATATACATCACATTGAATATTTGTAATATAATCTCTATAAATATCCACACAGGTTCTGAAAATTTGCAGAAAAAAATATATAAAGTGCGACGCCACAGTGACGATACTTAATAGATTGTTACGATATTTTTTTTTATTGAGAAATGCTTGTGGTTAGTTGCGTAGCTTTTTGTGGTATATATAAATATTAGATACCTAGAAAACTTAAATAAATTTAAACTACAGATTATAAATATTATGTAATAAACGCAAAATGTATAATAATAAAGAAATATATTTATTTCGTTATCTTAAAATTATAGGTAACTAGCTTTCGCCAGCGGCTTCGCCCACGTGGACCCTAGGGAAATGTTTAGAGGGATAAAAAGTCTATATCTAAGTCAGCTAACACCATATCTGTACACCAAATTTCATCACAATCCGTTCAGTAGTTTCGGCGTGATTACCCGACAAACATCCAAACATCTAAACATCCAAACAAAGAAACTTTCATATATATAATATTAATAGGATATTTTCTTTGGTAAAAAACGCATCTAATATTACCTTTACAAGCGGGCATAAAGTAGTTTAAAATATTTGAATGATATAAATCCCAAATAAAGTTACAAAAGACCGTCTTCAGATATTATAACGAGTGAAATTTTGAAGTGACATTAAATGTTTCAGATCCAGGTTGTAATTGAAACATGATTCAATTAGTGCGGCGGCGGGCGCGTTCTGCCCCCCCTCCCTCCCGGCACTCGGATCACCTTGTTAATCATTCAATTACCCGAACGGCTATTTTATTAATTCCTTATGATAATAACAACAGGTAGAAAATCCCCGCCGGATTTTCTTGTTGTGTCATCACTACGTAGTTTCAATTGAAATCATTCTTAGCATCTGTCGTTCCCTCACAGATAGGCTATTAATTCTCGTTGTGCTGTGTGCGACGCTTGGCCGGTAGCTAGATATCAAAAAGCTTAATTCACATCATCACACTAGTGTTATGCACAATAAAATAAGTTTCACAAAACTGTTTTCAGCAAACGTAAAACTAACTATGAACTTTGTTTTATCAAAAATATACACATTGCACAAAATGACTACAGTGGTATGAAACTCACTCCACTATCTATCACCACTATATATTTGCTCCACCGCTGGATATATGCCTCTTGGTAACTTTTCAATCTTGCTTTACTTACAGTAATTCTGTAACGTCTTTTTTATATCAACCAACCATCTGGCTGTTAGTCTGCCTGCACTTCGTCTTCCCGTTCGGGGCCTCCAGTGTTAAAACATTTGGCTCCATCTGTCATCATCTCTACTGCGCACGCATCCTGTCTATTGCCATTTAAGTCTCGCTACCCTTTCACCTATATCATTTACTTTGGCGAGTTGGCGGATAGTGTTGTTTTAGACCCTGTCCCTGTCCCCTGGGTGACCTTAAGTCGATGTATAGGCCCCTCAGTCAGAGCCCATATTTCGCAACCGCAAGTCTCTTTGCCCAATTTAATATTATATCCAAGGTGAACATACTAGTCAATTCTATCAATGATTTTGTTCCCAACGAATATATCTCCGGGTGTATCAATAGTGTTCATCCATTTTGTTTTTTTTTTAAATTAAGCTTCAGTCCAACAACCGCTGAAGCCATACTGAGGTCATTTAGCATTTTCTCAAGATCTTTCGTTGTTTCGGCCTTC